TTTTTTTTGTTGATTGATTTGAAAACGATGAATCAAAGTAAGTTTTATTAAAAAAAAATTATAATCGTTTTTTTTTTTCATCAATCATCATTTTAATTATCAAAATATTATATAACAATATAAACAAAGAAAAAGGGTTTTCTTTAAATTTTTGGTTCTCTAAAACGGCACCCGATGAATTTTTAGTTATCATTACATAACTTGCGATGCCTTTATTGTTCGATCGGGTAGCATGTGGTTCGGGACCAGTGTAATGGTTTTAACAATTTACTTCACCGAATACGTGAAATGTTCTTTTAAATTTATCTGCAGATTAGTTGCTATATTGCTGAAAAATATAAAATATGGAACGGTGGAGGTGGTGTAACCGAAAGCAGCTATATAATAAACTGATTTTTAATAAAACAAATAGAACAAAAATTAGGATAAGGTTGAAAAACAAAAAATAACAAGGACAAAAATTTTGAGACAACACTGCAGTTGATGAATCTTATAATTTGAAAACGGGAATTGGTTTGAAAGTGGCAGGAGTTTTTATGACCGACAATCTGTAGGCTAATTACAGAAGTTGCCTTGGTGGATTGGGCATCTGGTATCCATGTGGCTGTCTGTGGTGACGGAGCTTTCGACAATGTTACAAGTTCATTTAAATCGGCATTCGCTGAAGTTTTGAACAAATTTTGTCAAAACATTACCGCATGTCGTCTTCAACGAAGGTATATCTTTTGAATCTTATCCTTTCTTTTATCAGTTTTCGTTCACTTTATTCTTGTTGCTATGCAGTTCTTTTTTCCTCCTTAGTGTTCTTTGATTTCCTCCAAGCCTTCAGTGTTTAACGGGTAAAATGAAACCTTTATTTTGTGCTAGGTTTATTTTGTCTATTTTTTTTTTCACTTTTTCCTTTGAAGAGTAAAAACAAGAGAAAGGTTCAGCTTTTTACATCTTTACTTTTGTGTCGGTTGGTTTTTTTTTTTTTTTTTTGATTTATCTGTTGCAACAGCTGATGGTACCAAATGAAATAGTGTGGTTTAAAAAGCCAGCAAATTAATACGCAGTTAAAGCACTGCAATTTTATCGCCACTAATCCTTTTGAGATAATTGTCGACGTAAAGCCCAGAAACAAAATATTCATCACAAGACAAAGTTCAATAGCAATAACAGCAGCAGCAGCACAACGGCAACAGCAACAGCAAATATTTTACGCTATTTATAATTTCTCACTGATGTCTCTGAAACGAAAAAGAAATTTTGTACGGTTCGGGAAACAGTGTAATCTTAACAGCAAAAAAAGTAAAAAGAGAGAGAGAGAGAAAAAAAAACGTTAGATCAAAATTTAAAAATATCGAGGAAA